AGCAGCAGCAGCAGCAGCAGCAGCAGCAGCAGCAGCGGCAGTAGTAGTAGCAGTAGTAGTGGTGGTGGTAGTAGTAGTAGTAGTAGTAGTAGTAGCAGCAGCAGCAGCAGCAGCAGCAGCAGCTGCAGCAGTAGCAGTAGCAGTAGCAGTGGCAATAGAAGTAGCAGTAGCAGCAGCAGCAGCAGCAGCAGCAGCAGCAGCAGCAGCAGCCGTAGCCGTTGCCGCAGCCGCAGGAGTAGTAGTCGTAGTAGTGGTAGTACTAGTGGTAGTAGTAGCAGTAATAGTGGCAGCACAAGCAGCAGCAGCAGTAGCAGTAGTAGTTGTAGCAGCAATAGCAGTTGCAGTAGCAGTTGCAGTAGCAGTTGCAGTAGCAGTTGCACGCATTCCCTTCCCTCTTGCTGCCTCCGTCCCTTCGCTGAGGAACGGCGGCGGCGCTTTGACCTTCAAGACGGCCAGAACTCGAAAACCCCAATAAGCCCTAACCGAACCGTGAACGCAGGTAACTAAGCCGTTATGTCGAGTCGAATCCTTGAGCCGGCAGTTCTGTGGTAGGCGAGCAGAGGGCCCCACTTGCACTAACCACACGCACACGGACTTTGATTCTTGTTTGGTCGGCAAATTCGGCACTGGGAGTCGGAACAATAGCACTTGACGCCGCATTCACCATCTTTGGAAACCATTGTTGAGGTCCGTGGGAAATTGTAATGCTGTCATGCAACGAACAGTAGTCATAGAAACGAGAGCGAGAGAGAGAGAGAGAGAGAGAGACAGAGGGAGAGAGATAGAGAGAGAGATAGAGAGAGAGCGAGAAAGAACAAAATAGCGGGTCAAACCGAAATACGGCATTCCGCACATCGAACTGGACATGGTTCAAACATAAACTCGACCACTCTGAAACAATCATAGAACCCAGGAACCCAGTTCTTGCATTCATTCACTTGCACATCATGGCCCGTGAAAACTGTCAGGCAACATCGAACATCAAGATGTGGCGGCAGCGTTGTAGATGCTCATCATGGTCAGACAAACATACAAACAGAAATACCTACATTCCTACATTCCTACGTTCCTACATCCATCTATCCATCCATCCATCCATGCATGCATGGCATGCGAACGTCATGCACGCTTCGCCACTCAACTTCAAAAACTCATAGATGGCGGGTTGCAAAAAGAACGATGGATCAGAGAGAATTCGGCCCTGGCACCGCAGGGCCCGAGGCCACCTCCTTGGCCGTCGGCAGCACATCTCCGCCTCGTTGAATTGGGTTAGGATTTTGGCTTGGGAAGGGGCCTGAACAAGCCGGGGCACTGGGAAACCCCACACCGACAGGTTGAAGGCTTCGACTGGTTCTAGTTGCTCAAGGCGCATAGTCGCGGCTTTCGAGTTCAATCACTCTGCACACCCACTCATCGCGACCATTCAGGTTTACCCGCTCAGGAGATGCTGGCAATGGCGATTCTTGGCGAAGAAGCAATAAATCGGACATCATGTGTTGCCACCCACCTATCAGGGCACGAGACTCAGTCAAATCATCTCAACCTATTGTCGAGCGTGCTAAATTGAAGTCCGCGACCAGTCTGGTAGAGACAAACAGAGGGTTCGGAGTAATTATCCCGCTTGGAGGTTTAAGGCGTGATGACAACTCACCCAATCTACAAAAGCCAACCGGTGTTCTGTGAAATTCCTCGAACAAGAACTACGCCGTACAACTGCGCTGTAATTAAGCTCGGCGTTACACTGTTACATGGTCGACGGTTCGTCCGGGGTCCCTGATTCTGCGTTCTTGCTCTTTCGTGTTGCGCTCCAGTCCGTCTACGTTCGGCCACAGAGCACCGAGAGGGAGGTCGTCAGGGAGAGATGACCCGGGGAATGGTCAACGCTCGCTTGCTTCTGTGGGAAATCACTCCAGGAACCGCAAGCCGTGCACTTGATCCTTTGCCTGGCCACAGCTTGAATCCTCTACGACGTCTCAAAACAGATTGCGGAAATTTGCAGAACTACGCTCCGCTTCTTTCCGCCCTCATCGGGCAACAAAACTTAGAGCCTTGGCACTCGCAATGTTGGCGAACCAGCTGCTCGAGATGATGGACGTGTGCTCTGCACATGACCAGGGTTCGGTGCAAACACCCCGGGCATCTATATACAAATGGTGCTGGCTGCTGGATGAAACTGAAGTAGCGGTCAACTGCTGCTCCCAGCATTGGGACCATGTTGGACCATCATAGGAGTTAAGCCACGCGTCCCCCCGCAAGCTTTGGCTTCGCCAGAGCTTGGGCCAGAAGTAGGGCTCGGACAGCTGGATCACGGCTGCCGGTGGATAGTCCGGAAAATCAACAGGCCTGCTGGCCATTGCCTGCATCAAGGGCTCCTGAAAAAGGGCCATCGTTAGGCGAAGCAATCCGGAAAACAGAGTCCAGAATGGAGTTGCGAGAAGTCGCAACGCCGCAAAGACGCCTCCAAAATCCTCGCAGTAATTACAGGCTGTCTGCCCGCAGTGGCTGCCATCAAACCCGAGCACCGCGAGCCTGTCGTACAAGCTGGAATAATCCAGCCAGAAGCGGCATGCAGTGAGGTGTCCTCGAGAGTGGCCGCCAACAACGATCTGCCAGGAGTCGCTGTCAGCATGCCTGGCCAGTTCTGCATTGACCACGTCCTGAGAATTGGGATGCAGATTAACTAAAGGTTTGAGGTTTCTGGGCACAAGATCAAGGCACTTCAGTCGGCTCCTTCATGGCTGCTGCATCACTTCGGAAGCTGGGGGCATCGCCTGCGCTCAAGCCGGTTCCCACTGGGTCGTAGATGCAAGCACGTGTGGCCTTTGCCAGTTCATGCTGGACGAAGTAGAGCGTTCCCGGGGAGGCCAGGTAGCCCGGCTCCAAGACAACAAGGGACTTGTTTGGCTCGCCCAAGCACCAGTACGCGATGGCAGTCTCTGTGTATGCCGGCTTGGGGACGGTTGCAAGGTACATAAGCATGCCGACTACCTGCCCAACCAGCGAGATGCCCAGGACTACTCCGCAACAACCGCAACATATGCAGCAACATCGGTTCCGCTCTGAACTTCCTTGTACGTCCTCTGCCCGAGCCGCAGGGCTAACAGAACCGATGCGTCCAGTTGAGGAAGAGAAGAACTGGCAGGCCCACAAAGCAACAGCAACGACAATGAAGAACATGTCCGAGAACATGTCACCATCTATGGCGGACAATGCGATAGCATAAACAAGGTATGTCATGAACACCAGACAAGGCAGCATTAGCAGCACCATGTCCACGTAGGCACGTCGTTTCGGCACAAAGCGGAAAAGCAACAGCTCACACAGGCAGAGCACTCCCCAGGAGATGCTGTATTGTAGAAAGGCCAGTAGGAAGGAAAGAGCAAGCAGCATCAACGCTTGCAGTCGCCAGTCTCGCAGCCATCCCACGACTTTCGAGCTGAGGGCCGTCATGGGCAAAACATGGTGAGGAAACTGAGGCCTCAAGATTTCAAGAACTACATCTGAACCACAGCGAACGCAAAACGTTCCGAATATGTTCATGCGGTTTCTCCAAAAGATCCACAAGGAGCGCTGTGAGGCCAACTGCACAGGCCTTCGGAGCTTGGCGAGCCGCCCGACGGCGCCTGCCGACCGCCCATTCCCGGTTCCCTTCTCACAGAGAACTTGCATTCGCCGACTTCCGCTCGAGGCGACCACAGACCTCTGCGCCGTTGACCTCTGGCTGCCGCGCTGTCCTCGAGCAATGTCAGATTCTACGGCCTTGTGCGGCTGAGCACGTCTAGGAATCAGAGCACTGTGCTCCAACGAATCTTACAAGAGCATGGGTTTCCCTCAGGAATTATTTCAACTCCATCAGGCAAGGATCGGGACGGGTGCTTTCGCGTCCCCAGAGCCGTGCTCGTCGGCCTTTGATTGGCCGCGCATCAGCAAGAAGCTTCACCCGTCGGACACGTGCCTTCACAACCCGGTTCTCCAGCAGCCATCGAAGCTGCTAAGCTTCGAAGCATAGATCACCCCCAAACCCCCATAAATCCCCTACTTCTTGCTGATAACTTTTCAGACCGTTCGGTCGACTCACTGGCTGTCGCCCCGGACAACTTGTTAGCATTTTCTAGCCAGTCTTGTTCTTCCAATTTGGACCATCCGCACCTAGCGCACGCAAGGGGAATCGAACTGCCGAAACGAGCAAGGTTGAGGACAAAAGCAGCCGATGACGCGACATACCCGATACGAGAAAAGCAGTGGCGGCAGGCCAAAGATGGGGACGATGAGCATGATGTTTGTTAACTTGTGTGCATTCCCTCACTTTGAAATGCCGGGCAGCCGCAATGAACCTCGGTGGTGCCTTGGCTGATGGAGCTGCCGGCTCACTTACTGGTGGCCCATCGACCTGGATCACTGCAGGTGCCGAACTCAAGTCAGATATACGTGTACACATGCATGCATTGTATGCTGGGACACAGGGACAAGGGGATGGAGGGAGGCCAGGCCGGGACGCAGGAATGGAGAGATGGAGCGATGGCGGAAAGATTGAAATGCATGGATGGATGGATGGATGG